ATGCGGCTGATGACCACTAACGCTGATCCACCACCCCCTCATCCGGCGAAAAGACGCTCTAGGACTCCCCCGCCCCTTCCCCCCTGCCGCCCTGACTTCATATGTAAGAAAACCCGTTTTGACATGACTTTCACCCACCTATAAATACTGTGAGGCGCGATACCACACTCACCTCCGACGATAGAAGCTTGTATGCTTTTGAAACGTCAGGACAGTAAAACAATGGTTCCCGAGATCCCCTTTTCTTCTCATATATATATTATATTCGAAAAACTGAGTCCTGTGGGAAACTGAGAAAACTTTATCTGATAAATTTTCGATGCTGGTTCCCCAGGTCGTCGTCCGACGTGTAGCAAGTGTGAGAAAAACAGTTAAAATTTAAACATGCCCGAAATATCGATATTGCCTCGTCAGGGCTGAGAATGGGTCAATGCTGTGGGCTGACGTCACGTTTTGATTGGCTATCAGCTTTTCAAGTTTTCTTTTAGATTTGTGAACATCGCGTCAAGATCGATGCGCCGAGTGATGCATGAATCATCAGAGTGAATGGCCTCTAGGAATTCTTGACCTTTCATATATGCGCAGGAACCGACAATGCGTGTTTTATCCCAAGCAAATTCGTGCCCAGTTTCATAGCATGGTCAACGCAAGCGATCTGCGTCGGCTACTTCTTTGGGGAATAAATCATCGGAGATTTGACTAAGAAAACAAAACTGAAATGGGTTTAGCTCCCACTTACTTGACACCACAATCCAAAAAGGTAACGAGTGCTAGCCGACAGAGTAGAAATGTTAGTGTGTTAGCAGAAAAAACCGTGAATTTTTGAGTTATAGAGACGAAGTGAAAACTATCCATTGGATCAAAGATGTAAAGGAATGTCGACTGATATTTCTCTACATGCCTTACAAACGCTTTTCCTCTATTCTTCAGGGAGATTAAAGGACATTGACTGAGACGTGTGTCCGCAATGAATTTTGTTGGAAAATTTTTAAGGATGTCATGCCGTCCCAGAGGAGAAGCCCCTGAAGCTCCTTTGGCTGGATTTTGCGCTAAACGGCCTTTAGATTTCAACACGGAACGTTGGAGCCCACTACAACGTTTCCACCAAATAGTCGAATGCTTAATTATTTCTAATAACTAGTAGTTTGAACTCATGCAACAATTTTGTATTCATCCACACCGTAGAAGTGTCCGTAGGGAGCGCCGGAGTACCAGCTGCGGCATTTAAAATCACGCATACTGACTGAGAGTAGCATGCCTCATCTACCGGCCTGCCACCGCTTCCTCGGCGTTTCCTTCAAAACGGACAGAATGGAAGAAACGGCCAACACACAGGTGTGCATAGAGAATCCGCAGAACAGAAAGTAGACAACTTTTGACATGTTATGCGAAAATTTGGTTCGTGTCGCATGGCTTGGGGAAGACACCTAGAGTACTTTGTCAGTGCGATTTTTTGATAGGGACCATAGAGGAAATTTTTCCATCCACTTCGTATATGCGATGCTCAATATGTTTCCCTTGGTTAAGTCGTCTTCAATCAAATCCAGTCTAGAATGAGTTAGCAACCCATGATACGACATTTTAAGATTCCCATTTCTTGTTATCGTATATAGTTCAGTAACAACAACCATGTAGGAGCTGATATGACCGATGGCTGAATGAGGAATGTATACTCGGACTTAAACGTCGGTTTTCTATACTCGCTAAGCTCTGAGCCTAATTGATTTAGTACAAACACTGTCCAGACGGTATAGGTCCTGTGGGTCTTGACATTGCGCACGCCAAAGAAAGGGATTTTACATTACAGGAAGATAGATTTATAACGCGTCGACTGGGGTGGTGTTTGGACCGTCATACCAACGAATAACTTGGATTTTTCATAATTTGTTCACGCTCCGTTGGTGGCTTTTAGCATTACGTTTACTGTCGCCATATAACTCACTCCTACAGTTTATCTTGTTTTCTCGAACGCCTCGCAAACCCCTTGAGGACAACCGCCACCCTTGTGGTACTCAAAAGAAAAAAGCGAGGACTGTATGTGACATCACAAGATCGTTCGTGAATTTTGTATTTGACTTCTAGTTTGGGTCTTGTGCGTAATCAACACAGACGCTGGCCTCATTCGCCCCGGCAGCGTGTGCCCATTTGGAAATGTTGCTACATGCTCCATCAGATAAACATAAATTCTAAAGACAAACGCTTGGCAAAGGGAGGAATGGACTTTTTAGTGGAGCCGAATCACTAGGACCCCTCCAAATCCTCCACAGGAACATCAGACATCCTAGAATGTAGTTGGTAAGGTTAACTCGACTGAAATACAATAATTTTTTCTCACTGCTGAGACCGATTAGTAGTTCCGATAAATCACTCTTAGATTGTTAATGTGAATTAACACCCACGCTTTAGTCCGTAACTTTGACCTTACAAACTTTTTAGTGGTACAAGAACCGATAAAAGTAATGAAAATTTAAAGCGTCGCTATGCACTATCGACATCCAAAAATAAGCAACGCACCGCGTATTTTATTACAGGAGTGATTCTTCCGTTCAATTGTTGCATGTCCTGGCTGCGCACACACGGACAAAACCAAAGACAATCGACTGCCGCACACCAGAGTGTGCCAGTTTCAGTAATGATAGTATGAAAACAGAGTTTGAAGAGAAAACTAAGAGAGTCTGTAGGGTTTCTACTTCCATGAAAATATCTGGGAGCAGACCAGTGTAAAAGTAGTGTTTTCAAACCTAATATAAAAAAGGTAAACATTGTGGGGAGTCCGGGCTTGGTGAAAAGACATCGTTTGTGATGAAGGCACAAGTTAGTCTGAACTGCTGACTGCATTCAGAGCCTCAGACAGGGCTTCCACCTCTGTGAGGAGCAGAGTGAAGGCATCTCGTGTATTGCGCACGCTTCTGCACAGCTGCTGTTGTTTGTCTAGCCCAGTGTTTTTCTCACCGGAGAGGCAATGGAGACACGAGGGCTGAAGTGGACAAAAGAACATGCCAAAATGAGACAAGGATCGCAAGTTGGATGCGAGTAAATTTGGACAAGATGTAGTCGAGGGGAGAAGGGCGAGGGGCGGAAACAGGAGCTGCAAATAATCACCGGGAAAAATAGCAGGAGATATAGCACGAGTGCGTACCCCCCAAACGATCACCGGGTATGTGCCCTCATCAATGGAACCTATGCGGACGATCATAAATCGCACTGTTGAACATTCAAGCAGTGGCATTGTGCGTAAAGTTGAGCGTTGGTTTGACAGCCCAAATGCCACCCCAGTCCCCGGGCGTTATAAACCTATTTCCCGTGAAGCAAAATCCCCGTCTCTGCTGTGTGCGAAAATGAGACCCATAGCACTACCCTCTGGGCAGTTTTTGTACTAAATCGATTAGCTCTAGAGCTTACCGAGTCCGCATTTACATGGCGCAACGGTATTGAAAACCGACGTCAACGTTCGTGGACAAGTTCCTCATCCGGCCATCGATTATATTGTCCACTGTGTAGGTATTGTTACTGAATTACACACAGTAACAAGAAACGGAGAATTTAAATTGCGATAGGGAGGGTTGTAAATTTACTCTGGGGTGGATTTGGCTTCAGACTGAGCAACTGCAGATACGGTGTTCGAACAAATGGTGCATAGAAGAAAACAATTTCCTCCTTGCCCGGGGTCTCTTCCGTATGTCCTGCGACATGAGCTAAATTTTCGCATATTGCGTCAAGAGCTGTCCACTTTCTCTCCGGCTGATTCTGAATGTACATCTGTGTGTTGACTACTATTTTCGTTCTGTTTGTTTTGAACGAAACAGTGATGAAACGGTTTAAGGTCAGTGGTTGAGACATGCCACCTCAAGTCATCCGGATTCTGACAACTGTGATTTTAAACGCCGTTGCCAGTTCTCCGACCATCCCTACGGACGTCTCTGCAATACCGATTAATGTCTGATTCTCGCATGAGTTCAAACTGTTAGCTACTAGAAATGACCACGCAATCCGGTGGAAGAGCTACAGCAGAAATCACATTTTCATGTTGAAATCTTCAGACGCGCTACTACAGATCCAGTCATAGGAGTTTTAGGCGATCTTCATTTGGGAAGGCATAAAGCAGAGTTAATTGCGGACTCACATCTTGGTCGCTGTCCTTTAGCTTCCCTAAAGAAAAGAGAAGATACCTGTCTTTAAAACACACTGACAAATATCAACCCTCACGCTTTCACATGTTTTCCCTGACAGATAATTTTCATTTCAGCTTATACCATAACAATTCACGACCAGTTCTACCTTTGCATTTATATTATTGACCTGTCAGTTTGCTTCCAGCGAACTCCTAAAAAGACGCCTTGATCAATCTGTCTCGCGAACCTTCCCAACAGCAAGGGTTCGAATATCATTTCTACTAACCCTATTTTACGCTGGAAAGATAAGGATAAGTAGTCACCTCAAACCACTTCAATGTGCATATATTCTTTCACTTGCACCTGTGGAGCAGGTTGTATTGGTTGCACGAGTCGGCGCCTACCCAAGGGAATACGAGAACACCTCCCGGCATGGCTGGGAAAAAGACGAAACTAGGTGCATAGGCAACGGCCCTGTCGCGTATGTTGTTGATTCCGGACTTCGTGTAGAAGCTTTTCATGTGATTTATAAGGGCCAATCGGGTTACCCTAAGCTACTGGGCCAGCGTCTGTTGGCAACAACAGAAGCTGCCGCCATCGGGTTACGAAAACCAATCTTGTGAGAACAGAAAAACCACCTTCAGGCTCCATACCTACAGTGGTCGAAGGTCGACTAACGCTGCAACTCTCCGCGCCCTTCCGCTCTCACCCGGCCCCCGGCGCTGACTGCTATTACCCCCCATTCCCATAATCGACTGTGTTCTAAGACGAACTTCAATAGCTCCCATGTAATTGTGCTGGCTCGAGGAGCTTTTATCCAAAGCTGCGTATGCTCGCCACCTCGTCTTCTGATTTCGACTATGGGAATTTTCGCAACTCTAAATGTATTTTGGATTGTGATGCTTGGGAACTGGAGGGAAAACCCGTTTTAATTTTGTTTCGTATGTCAAGTCTTTGACGGTATATTTATCTCAAACCATTGGACAAAGTAGATCAGTGAAGTCATCCTTGCTCTTCATCGTCGGCGGTGACGGTTGACAGAGGTAGGCGAATAGGGGATTTTCCCGTTTTAAAATGGAGTCTGTTACAGGTAGCCTGTGTTCTCCCTGAAATCAGGTGCCGACGCACAAATCCATCGTGAATTCCATCTCCTTACGCAAGTCAAATCTGGTCAGGAAGATTAAACCGCCTTGACAATGTACAAATACAGACGTTCTCTACGAATCTGTACGAATCTATACAATATCTATACAATCTATACAATATCATTTGGCTGATATGACCGACTTAATTTTAGCAAATGGCTGTGCAAGTTTAAATGGTCACTTTTATATCATGAAAATGGATGAATTAAAGTACAGGCCTTACCTTGCTATGGTATCCTACTCTTTTTTAATTCGTTATAAAAATGGTTTGTCTTTTGAGTACTGAACATAAGGAACAGACTGATTGTCACATTGTAAGCTGTGACCACTATGACAACAAATTGTTGAAATCGGTAACTGTATCCGTCAAAAAGTCCTTTGGTTTCAGAGTGGACCATCGGGTTTCAGGCTAAAACATATTTCTAGCCGTTTCAAACAGGACCCTAATGTTTGTCCTACAGTAAATGCATTGTTTTGAATTGATCTTATTTAGAGGGTTGAGATAAAATTCTAAAGTACGGACTTTTCAGATTCACCAATGCAAGTTATTTTAAGTCACCAACGACAAAATATTTTATACCATTAGATAAGAATGGGAAATTACTTCTCTCTTTTCTCACCGCATACGCCCTTTGGTTCATCCGAAATTTCAGATTTGTCGCCTTTGACTTAAGCCTAAAATAATTGAAAAAAGAGAGACTTGCGTAAATGAGAGAAGTTTACTTATGGGGCGAGAACTGATTTAAAACGAGGTCCACATTATGTTGCATATGATAGTCCACTTGGATAAATTTAGACGAAAGGAGATTATTGGATTTCCTAAAATTTCAGTTTTCAGTTTGCTGGTCGTTGGTCATCTAGCACAAGATGCGGTTCCACCTGGTTACTCCTGGATAAATTTTGTACAGGACATTTCCTGTAGCCCGGACTTAGTAATGTTGTCAGTATTCTATCTATACCAATTTTCTTCTCTCCTACTACAACGTCCACTCAAATATAATCGTATCTACCCGTGTATTACTGTTTCTTTGCTCAATATCACTGCGAAGTTTCATGAGCTCAATTTTATATCTTCTTAATGGCGTAGGAAAATATCTTAGTTCTTTTAAGGAAAGCATGCGCTTTGTATTCTGGTAATCCCAAACGCAAAGGCAACTGTAGATCAGGTCTACAATTATTTGTAAGCAAAAAGACTTTTTTTCAAGTGTGAAAGGCACTCTTACTTCAAGCATGAAAGTTGAAGAAGACGTGATTTGCTGTCAAATGAATACATGAAGCGATATGTTGGGCGTGTTTTTTTATAAAATCAATTTGAATTTGTACAAGCACCAAAAATCCACCGAAAAAAAATCATACTACATGAGTAGTCTTCCTTTACATGGTATGGCTTTTGCAAGCGGCCGAAAGGAAATCCTATCAAAAGCCGGCACCCTGGCGTGAATGAAATACCTTGAGATTATGCTGAACGAAAATCCTTCATAGTCGAGAACGCATTTCAGAATTTTCACCAACATTTCGTATGATACTCCAATAAATACATGATCAACTTCGTCTGTGCTATTGGCGTCATGGGTAGCAGCGTGCGGAATGAGAACGGTATACTTGCAACGACAACAACCCGGTGCTAAACCCAACGGCGTGAGAACGCTACTATATGAGCATGGATTAAATCCCTTGGTCAACTGGGTTGGAACTGCCCGACTTTTTGTTTGACATGCGCCCACGTGAAGAGAGTTCAGTGTTCTAGGGAAGTCACTATGTGAGCAGGCGAATTGAGGGTTTTAAAAACGAATTGAAGACAATATGCACATTCCACGCTTTTGTTTAAAATAAGACAAAGGCACGATCGTTGGGATGGTAGATTTATTGGTCTAAAACCTAATCGAATTGGATAATTTATTCGGAGCTCAGGTTGGTAGACAAAGTGAGGTAAATTCAGGCACAGGCGTCAAATATCAATATCTTTTGCCAAAGTAAATTGGGGATTTTCCAGTAATTCTTGGTACTCTGTTTGACAATTCGGACTACACAACTAAGACAATTAACACCAAAATCTAATTCACGATTCATAATTCCCCCGACGCTCGCAGCCTACATGCGTTTACACATGATTCGGCGAGGTTTGGTTTTGCAGCCGCACTTGATTGATACCGCATGGTTAGCTTACTAAAACAATATCAGTTAGCTGGGTTAGGAGGAGAAAGAGATCGTAAGCAGGGAAGCGAGTGAAGGTGGATTGAGAGGATACGGGGGACACGATCCCAACTGGATGGCCACGGGGGATCACGTGGTATTTTGCAGTGCATGGCCAATATAGTGGCCCCGACGGAGCTCCGCACCGTCCGAACAATTCCATTAGGAAGTCTACTTGACCGCTCGCTGGATTAAGATGGTACATATGGCACAAGGAGGACTCAAGCCCCACGGAGGGAGGCGCACGTGAACTGCTACCTGATGTAACCGAGGCTGGCGTATAAGCACTCCTCCCCCCGTGGCACAGTTACTCACTGGATTAAAGTGGTAGGGAAGATGCAAATACGTGGTATTTGTAAAAGCAGCGTATTCGCATCTACTAAATTTTTTTTAGAAAACTATACATATGGTATCATTAGAGTGGGACTGCCGAACCAAACCTCGCCCATGATTCATAATAAAGTAAGAAATGTTGAGCCTAACAGAAGATAGATGTTTCAAAGTGAATTTGCACTTATTTGATATGGTACCTCGCACCATATACGTTTTTAGCCATAGCGAATGAGCTAGACGGCAAGTCTACTTAAAGGCCTGAGTAACAAATAAGACCCAGACTATTATGATCAACCACATGCTCGCAAAATAGCAACAAATGGGCTGTGCAGAGAGAGTAGACCGCTGGAAGATCATTACAGACCAATGTATGACCTTGTTGGTGAACCATCTTCCCTGGTATTGGCAGTCGAAGTGGGCGAATTTTGAGTAAACCGCAAGAAGTAGGTTGATAAGAGAGAAAAGCGAAAAGCAGTGTCATTCTGACACACAAACCAGTTGGCTGGATGATGCGGTTGAGGTGGCGGCGAGATTCTAGAGGCTTTTCTACCAAAGATTGAAGGGTAGCGGGCAGAGGAGTCACAGTGCCGTCATGCAGCCTTGAGGCATTTTATGAGGCGATCGACCTGCCAGGCCTTATCCTCGCGCCCTGCTAGTCCTCAACTCCTTATTGGTCAGACCCGAGAACCTGCTCATTTCGCAGTTAACCTCCGCTGAAGGCTGTTCAGTTAACCGCCACCCATGGACGTCCTCCGGGTAGCCAGTGGCTACGCTAAGAGGGAATCCATCAACCGGTTGTTACTAACCGCTGCGCTCCCCTGTGTGTATTGGGGATGGACCGAATTCGGACAGGGCATAGCGGTGACTCCGACTACTTACCTAGGCCACAGAACACAAAAAACCGAAGACTGGATGCTAGTCATTACCACCCAATCAACAAACGGTGTACGGCGCGCCAGTTTCAAGCAGACGCAATCTTCAGAAGACGTCGTCGGTAAAATACCGAAACCTCTGCTTGGATAACACGGTCTTTCAATTGGAACACACCAGTCGCGACACAAGCAAGGCAAGTAAAACACAGGGATAGGAATCCCCTCGGTAGGGTAAATATACGCATGTCATAACCCTAGCCCTAAATGTAACCCTTAACCTTAAGCCTAACCTTAGTTCTAATCTCTCCGAAAATTAGCGTAAGGCCTTCGGTGCAGGGAGAGTGATCCTATTCCCATGTTTTGCCGAAAGGTCTATCAACCTGAGAGAAAGTTGATATTTTAATCTGAACTTGAACTCGTTTGATAATCCTTCTCTCGCTCCGATAGGATGCTCTTTGTCAAAGGAAATGTACTGGACGGAAAATCTCTTTGGAAGGCTGTGGGGTAAATAATTCCCAGATTAATTAGATCAAGTACAGGCTTGCATAACAGTATCACTGATATAGGACAGACAGATGGAAGCGTCGTAAACCAAAAACTGACCACCTAATGAGCCTGTTTATCAGGTTTCTCAAACGTATCAATGGTCGGTCAGTGAATAATTAACTTACAGGTTGTTAATTTCTGTAATGGTGCTCAGAACGGTGGCAGGGGCCTTTTCTGCCTGAAGTACTTTTGCGCGCACAGCTGACTCGACGAAGTCGATCCTGCTCTTGTCATTGACCACAACTCGCGAAAGCTGACCGTACGGTGTCCCGTCCTGACCGCCACGTTTAAATGCTCGAGCAGCTGCATTGTAGAAAAAACCGCCTTGAGGAACTGTGTCGAAATATTACTCTTTTATTTTTACTGGTTTAAATGCGAACTGATTGGCTCAGAGCATCTCTTTAACATTCGGACTCCCCACAAGCAGCTATCGATGTTTCTGTTTCATTTTGACAATCTGCGGACTTATCGTGAGCATTGCATTGAGTTAACGGGGTTATATATATACCGACGATAGCCCTCTAGTTGCTAGACGCTTCTTTTTTCATACTGGAAGCCGTATATTCTGGCCAGAAGTCAGCGGTACGTTTTGCCGACGGGATAGTTTAGTTCATAAGGGGCTTTGCAAAAGGCCCTTACTCAGTGTCGATTCTTTAACCGACAGTATCTAAAATATGCCAAACAAAGTTCGAACCAAACGGCTTGCAATATCGACAAGCAGAAGGTCATGGGGGATTTGACAGTACATAAATGAGAAACGAAATAGGAAAACAATACGAAGGAACCTACCACAAATTCGACCGACTTTGTAAGCGTAGTAGAAAATGGAATACGGTTTTGGAACAGCAGGTCGTCTTCTATAGTTTTGAGTTTCTATAAGGCGATTGAACTGCCAGAAGTCCAATGACTTGGGGGATAACCTCTTAAAGACCTCACTAGAGAAAAAAGAAACACCAGTTTCTGCGAAGTGTACTTGGATAAAAATCACATTGTTGGCTTGAGTGGTTCTTTTCACGTGGGTTGACGGTGCTCCGAGCAAGCAAACCTGGCTAGTTCGACACTGACATACATCACATCGATAAAGTCACCTAGTTCTGTTACAATGTACGGTAGTCGCATTGTCCTTTTGCTGAGTCATGTTTACTGACCAGCTAGTCCTGCACCAAAGCCCAGGTCGGAAACAGGAAATCTGTAGTCAATGTGCAAAAGGAGCTTTCGCGCAGAGTTGTGTCGATCGCAACAACTTACCCAGGAAAGGTTATCAAAGATTTTAATCAGGTTTCATTGTTGACATTGCAAACACGAATTCGTAGGCCAGCCTTCTGTGTACACAGCTGGCCACCGTTCAGGCCATACATGGCGTCATGCAGGACGGATACCCGAACACAGCCAGCCAATCGCATGCATTCGCGCAGTGCTCGGGAGGCCGACGCTAGCCTGTTCATCAGCCTTTACCTTCTAACTGTCCCATGCTCGACTGATGGATGCAAAGACGCGTGAGTCTTTTCGACTGTGCGCTGCAAACTGCTGTTAATTTTTAAGGGATCTGCACTAAATTGGCTATATCCCTCCTAATGACATCTGCATTTTTCGCTCCACAATCGGACGTCTAAGGTACATTCCTCCAAGGCGCCTGTCACATTTCGCCCCAGAAACCGAGGTGCGTATAATCTGTCCCACTATGACGCGCGGTTGGTAGATTCTGCATCAAATGAGACAGGCCTCTTCACTGGCTTTCGACCAAATGGCTGTCTTTGGTTAATAAAGAAACGACAGAAAACAGGTCATGGAAACAAACGGGAGAAAAAATCACTGTCTCAGTAAAAGCTGAACATTAAATCGCCTTAACTGCCATGCACAAAGAAACCTATGATTTTGAAAAAGCAGAAGAACTGACGGCAGCATTCGAAGAAACGTCTATCGAAAGGACACCTGGTCTGGACAATGTACTAACTTCTACAGTTTCGTAGCCCTTTAACGGAAACGTAATCTAATCGGCCGTTTGGCGTAAAGGGCTGGAAAAATCTGTTCGGCAGATAGCGTTAACGAGGAACTTAAAAGTATCCAGGACCTGCTTCGAGAGGACGAGTATCCTGACAGATTTGTTGTAAGGAATCTTGCCGAACGACCAGCAAAACTCATCAGACCGACCGCAGAAAAGAAAACTCTGCTCCTCAAAGTCCCTTTTCAGGGGGGGACGCGGCGAGTGATCTCCTGAGAAGGCGCCTTGACCAGGACGTTTCAAGGACCTTCCCGGCAGCAGGAGTTCAAGTATTGTTTTCAACCAAGCCCGTCTAACGCGGGGAAGGTGAGGATAGGCTACCTGCTCAGACCACCTTCATGTGCATTTACTCCTTTACTTGTTCCTGTGGCGCAGGCTACATTGCTCGTACGAGTCGACGCCTATCCTCAAGATTACGAGAACACCTGCCGGCATGGCAAAGGAAGGGTAAAGTTAAGAGCAAACACAGCTCCATGTTCGCACACATAGCTGATTCTGGGTACCGTGTGGATCCCAACGAAGCCTTCCGTGTGGTTTACAAGGACCTAAGCTCCTATTAGCAGCAGCGGAGGCAACTGCCATCAGGCCACAGAGGCCGGTCCTGTGCGCGCAGAAGAACCTCTTGCACGCCCCACGTCTACCGTGGGCCAGGATCGATTAACTGTATGCATGTCTCCGCGTCCCCACCCCCCTCCCCCCCTTGTGACACGGCTCAGCCTAACCCTCACTGTCACTGGCTGTCTCCTCTCCCCCTTCCCCTCCCCACTCTTTTCACATACCCCGTTTGTATGAAAGGACGAACCGTAATCGACTGCTCTTACCACTCACATGTTTCAATTTGTACCTCGTTCCCATGTAAATTTACAGGCCCAATGAGAATTTATCGAAGGCACGCGCAAGCTCGACAAATGCTCTTCTGAATTGCTCCATGGGAATGTTCCCAACCTTTTTAAAAAGTGTATCAGATAGACGTTTCGGCATTTCCAATTTCGTGGGCTCTATGGGACTTAAGAGTATTGCTGGGATGAACATAACGAAAATTAAAACACAATTGCCGCATCATGCTGTGTTGATAGCAAATTGCTTTTTCGGTATCGATTACAAATTATTGGCTTAAAACGCACAACCGCTCACCTAAAGACTGCGATCAGTAGGTTGATTAGCAGGACAAACGCAAAGAAGAGGTAGAGCACTTGGAGAACATTTGACATTGGATTGGCAAGGGGGCAGTCGATTCCATTGGGATCACAGTCTTCGTACGCACCTGAAAAAAAAACGAAAGATTCAGTTGGCCCAATTATGAAAAGTTCGGCAACCTCGATGAGACAGCAAGGACAAAGCCTGGGACCGGCCAATGCCCTAACCATCTGGCCCAAATTTGTTTAAGCTCATGTCTCCCGGGGGGGGGGGTGGGGGCTCGTAGTTCAGGTGGGTTGGAGATTTGGCTGTACTCAAGTCCTTGCTGTTGTCGCTTCTAATCCCATCGAGACAGACAAGGTTTCCACAATTTGATCAAATGGATTATTCAAGTCTGCCAAAAACACCTATTAAAACGCAACGAGCCGCCTGCCGATGAGGTAAAAAGCAAAAAACCATAAAATAGTCGTACGTTCTGGGAATCAAATTCCTTGAATTGAGCACAACCGCGCAGCCATTCGACAATCTATTGGCTAGGTACGTTTATAGTAAAGGCCTCATTTGAGACGGTTAAGAATGCCCTCTAATGAACAACACTCGATTATTCTTCCTAAACAGAACATTCATGAGTTGAAACTGTGAGGCACCTGTGGCTACAAGTCAATCTTAAGTTACCTTTGACGATGGCAGGTGGACTTACAGGCAGTTTTCACATCCCTACTTTATTTAACGGCTTAAAGGTATAGTTCAAACTTGAGAATGTATTCCTCCCTTCCTAGCAAGGGGAACTTAGACACCCCACAGAGGATTATGACAGATCTGGAGCGTAGCAAAATTGTTCTTGCACGGAATAGACCATCCTAGTGATTCAAAGCTAAAAGGAGAGGTTGTACATCTAATGCTTGATTACATACTTACCTTTCAGCACGCCCGGGTATATTTTCTTAAAGAGGTTATAATACGGGTATTCCAGAATGCGTAGGAGTTCCTTAGCAGAAAAGCTCTTTACGTAAGGGAAGCTAAGCCTTTGTAAAGCAATGGCTTGCGGAACGAGGACAATGACTATGACTGTCAGGAAGATTGAGAACTCCTGAAGCATTGGCTTCATGATGATAATACGCGGGCCGAAGGACTTGAAAACCAGAAGGTAGTCAAATATCCGTACGTAACATAAGATGACTGAAAGAGCGAGAGAAAGAGAAGTTGGTGAACTTGAAGGTCCAGACCCAAATTGTTGCACGGCAAAATATTTGCTTCCTGTAAAGAGGTGGGACACTATGGTTGCGTTGAGTAAAAACGACTAGCCCTCTCGCATGGGATTTATGCGTCGTCCATTTTGCGTTAGAATATGAAGCTGAATGCGAGTAAAGTACATCACCATAAAAAAAAAGAAAGAGAACAGGCGGACCGATTTTTGTCTGAACCAGCCCTCACTTCGCCCCGCCTGACATGCGGGAACCAGTTCGCGCCTCCGCCCCACGTCCCTTCTCACGTGGCTCCTCTGCTCCCTTCCCCCCACTCCCTCCATACTACCTCCCAGCTTCGCCCCCCCCTCTATGCCAGCCCACCACAATTGTTTCTTGCACCTAACCGGCGCTCCCACAAAATTGCACTTGCGTATACGTAGGTACTCGTACTAACGAACACAATCTAGTTATCCGTCAGCGTGACCTCCTGTCCTCCGTTTTTGCGCACGCAGTCGAGTGAGACCGCAGATTCAGTCGGAATGATACTGAGGTCGTCGCCACGGCAAATACAAAAGGGGCGAGAGGATTTCTCAAGGCTGGATCCTCTAGTATGTGTAGTGCTGGCCTCCATGTTGACCTAGACGGTTACTATGGGGGCCTACGAGCACGATTCACCGATCCCCCCCCGCTCCCACCCCAAATCAAAGACCGCTAACCCAGTCGTCTACAGTCTCATTGGTTCGCTATCCTCACTCGTAAACATGCTCCTTCCTTTCCGAAACTTACCCTAACTCTCCGTCCAGCACTCTCACATCCGAGCTCCGTGTAACCGCTATGCCCTAAGAGCTCTATTGTGAAAAGCACTCTTTCCCCGACTCGTTTCGTCTGACGACGGGTTGGTGTCATTAACTTGAAAATTCACGAGGACAACTGGGCTTCTTTCCGAAGAGCCCCCTTATCTCAAACAGTGATGTTAAAGACATTTTTGAAAAGTTACCTGCACTGCATATTTGTAGTACATCTGACGATTGCCTGCGAGTCGGCACATAAGATTTACGCGATGAAGTTTACTGCATTCCGAAGGAAGTTTTTTATCTCGATGTTATATTTTGTTGAGTGTCTATGCCTCAAAGTATGCTTATTTATACATCGCAGATAGGCCAGGTTCTTTGGGAATGGAATAAAGTTTATTGTGTAAGTTCTCGGAACTGGTTGCCTTACCCGTTGTCAGACTACGTACAGCGTAAAAAACCGGACAAAATTTCGAGCATACACGGCGTCCACTGCATTTAGTTACTCGGTCGAAACTGGTGTTGCTGATCATTACTCGTTCGAAATGAGCGCGACATGCAAATCGATATACTTGTTGATGTATGCATAGTCCAAGAGCCCTGATACTAGGCACTCGAGGCCTCTACGATGGTCAAGTGTTTGGGGTACGAGTTATTTCACATAAATTTCCTCTGTTGGATAGTTGAATTGCCACCTATGAGTTTTGTAGTTTGAAGCACCAACTATGCAGCCTATCGGATAAGGTGGGAAGTCAATTCTGTGAACTTTAGCAAGTCCAGAATGTTTTTATTGACAAAGACAAGGGAGATTGGAATGGAACTCACTCGTTCAGCAAGAACGATTGGTTGCCCCCCCCCCCCACCATTGTATATTCCCGATCGGAACCGACGGGACAACGAGCCTGTGGCCCAATGGTTAGAGGCGTTGGACGCGAGTTCGAGTCTCAGGTGTTCCACACCTCGGGGTTGGGTATGACTGATTGGCGACGGCTAATAAGCCAGAAATGGTCATTCCAGTCTCCCTTGTCTTTGTCGGCAATAACATTCTGCCTATATTATGCGCCGCTGTGCGGCTGCTGGTTGGGCTCGAGAGAACAAGAGCCCGTAAGGTACAACGTAACGAGTGAATTCCGAAATAACGATCAATGAGCGCCCCACCACCATTTAGGAAGTTCGCATGTCTCGGCAATCATTGGTTCAGCCTGTTTCAGGGATTTGGCAAGAACTTCTGGCACTTATCACCCTTCTGTGTGGGAAGGGAGGGGGCGTAAGGGGCAGTTCGATGGTTTTTCAGTACGTGAGTCCTGCGGCGTCTTAGGGATGGGCAGTTAAGGGCTTTTATATTGAATTGATCTTTAGCATTGACAGCACCCGATCGTTGCCTCACCTCCTCGACGGCAGTTCGACCGTTGCTGCCGATGTCTCTCATGTGTTCCACAGCAAGGTGAGAGCAGGAACGGTGACTTGCGAATGAATTAGTTTATAGTGATAGTAAAATTGCGCTGCATCTACCGCACTCTCTGTAATGTTCTAGCCCTAATGCTTTTAACGGGTGGCCCGGTTTACAACTCGCCGCGATCGAATCCTCAAAAAAGAACTCAACAGCAATGGTGAAGAACACGGGTCCACTGCTGACGTCCCAACAGCAAAACCTGGTGATAAAGGATAGATATAGAATGTACAAGGGCGGCCTGCATTTGAACCAATCAGAGCATGGCCTTGACATGCTAGCATGTGGACTGGTCTTCTGACTCATCTGAGTGGCTGGGCGCTTCTCCAATCCGGCCGGTGGCTGGCGCGATCTCAACACGCACACGCCGTGTGAACGGGTCGAGGGGCAGCCCATGCGCGCGACGTTAGAGTGGCCTAAGCCGGCCTCGCCTAACACTCCTGTCCCACCTGGACCCAGTGTCAAGACAGAGTCAAGAAGACCGGAGGCGGGAGAGGGCACAGGTGGCTGGCACGGCGTAAACCCGCACCTAGACGTAGCACCACACACTGGTTTACAAAGTACATTGATCAGGATTTTATACCACAACAAAAATAGGGTTGACGGCAACTGGGCCTGCCACCACACCCAAATTTTGGCATTTGTTATGGGGTGCGTATTCCTATAACGCCGGTCGGACTCTAATCTAGCCCCAGTATTGTTCCGGCGGATAAACCGCGAGGCTCGTTTTAGGGGCGAGGCCACTCTCTACTGGCTAACCAAATGTGGGGATGCCTGCTGACACGAAATTCAGTCGATAAGACTACGAGTCTGTGTTAGGACGGCCCAGAACACGACGCACCGTTCCTGTCGTCCGGAGGTCACGCCTGACAAAGAACCGCAAACTTGCCGCACAGCCTCGCCTAGGAGGCCCGCATGTGAGCCAGACATTAGCACGCCGCTGAGTCATGCGCGACCCCCAGGGGTCAGCAACACGCGAGGGCCTGCCCATGCGGGCGCTCCGGACTGGACCAATAGGAACACACAAACCAGACGAAGGTTGAACCCTTCAATACGAAGCCATGAACGGAAGGATTAAGAGTTGCTGTACACAGGGTGACTGACGCAGTAAAGCTGTTCTCTCCTATCCTGCCTGTCTTCTATTCCGCACAGAACTGGCGTCATACTAATTGGGGATATAACAGTCTGGCTAGAAATAAACATGCAGTATCAGAGAACGATTGGGAGCAAAAGAAGGTAAGATATGATTTGGTAGCTACACCTGATGGATACAATACTGTTAGGGTTGGGGCTAAGGGTTGGGGTTTAGGATTAGGGGGTTACAGTTACAGTTAGGGGTTAGCGTGACCACTTCTCAACCACGCATCCCCAATAGCTTTTCTTTTGCATACAACTACTTGAACTCGTCGCCTGTGCGTTCTCCGGCTCCACCTGTAAAAACCCCCATTACCACCGGTCCTGCATTAGAGGTGACTGGGGTTTGTTAACTTCAGGTGGGACTACAAAATCACATCCTACCCAAAAGAACCTATAAGGTGCCGTCATAGCACTTTCCTGTTGTCTGTCAAAAATCCTTGAGCCAAACGTTTACGCACGCCCAGTGGTTGCGCTCCTAGACGTGTCCACGGTTTCCATGATCACTTTTTTTCTTATAAATGATGGACCAGCAAGCGTAGGATTCAAAAAACTCAAGGCCAGATTCCGCATTGTGTAAGCGTGGATAATTTTAAATAAGTAGACTCACGAAAGAAGGCCATAAAGCCTCTCACAAAATATAAGTCCTGGAAACTAATCACTCTGAGGAGGAACCATGTCCAGAAGACCACATAAGTGAAGTAGTTAAAGGGAGAAAATGGCGTGGTCTTGGAGCTCCGGAATGCCGTTGACCAGGACGACATATGCCAGTGGAGAATGAACTACAATAGAAATATGTGTCTTTATATTAGAGATGGGGAGACGCCAATGAAGACGGGACAAAACTGTTTCGGGTTTGTCCTGCCCTCATTCTGCCAATAATAACCTTTGTCACCAATTGTGAACGGAAATACAAACACGAGGTCACGCGTGAAGCAGATGGGTCATAAGCATATGTATATATATAACGGTAGGCGAGCGTTCAGAAATCGTGTTACAAGACACGCTCATCCGTTGTGCCTGGAGGTTCCATCTCATGCCTCGTCATAAGTCACCCAGAGCTTATTAGTGCACGCAGAATTACATTACCAACAAAGACAAGGGGGACTAGAACGGCCCTTTCCGGCGCATTAGCCATCATTATCCGGCCATAGCCGCTCCCAGGTATCACAACCCCTCATGCTCCACCCCGCGACCTGTTGGTTAGACTTCCAACGCCCTGAGCATTGAGTCACGGGCTCGTTGTCCTGTCGGTTTTGATGATAGAGAACCGCTCACCAATCGTCTCACCGGACACACTTGTTCCGTTGTGCCTTGGGGTGAGTGTGTCTCGTAACGCGACCACTGAGCGCCCCTCAACCGATAGGACGGCAAGCCCGTGGCTTAATGGTTAGAGCGTCATATTTTCAACCAAAAGGTCGCGGAATCGAACCTGAGGGGTTGCAGTCCAGGGACTGGGTTTGGCTGGCTGCTGACGGCTAATAGGTCGAAATGACCATTCCAGTTTCCCGTGTCCTTGTCGGTAACCTTATACTTCTTTCGGATCATGGTAACAGATGACGAAGGTGATTATTTTGTCTAAAGCAATTCGAGCCTTGTACGTTGTGCGCGCAGTTCGCATAATGTTTGCCAACACGGATTTTGAAGGTTTCTGGGTCTACGTTTTGTCGTTCTTATACAAATAACTACTACTGAATTATTAGATCTATTACTGCATTCGCCAGCCACTTCTTAAGCGGGCTTCTGCTTGGCAAGATCAACCACTGACCAATAAGCCGTCTCATTTGAGCTACTACAGCATGTTTGAATGTTTGCCTGGAAAGGGCCATCAGGAATTTTTCCAACTGGCACCATTTTATTCGCAATCTGGATTCTGCATTGGCTGCTCAGAGAAATATCCCTTAGTTCCATCCTGATGATTTATATATTAAGTCGAGAGAATAGTTCCAATCTTAGCATTCTGTCATCCTGCAAACCTTTTAATTTATGTACAAACGAAAAAAATTGTTGAGCTGAAAGTCCTAGACACACGCTACTATTTGATGAATTAAACATAGAGGATGATTAGACAGATATATCCTCACATACCGTCGCCACATCCATTATGCAGAAGATCATGTAGTGAACCACCACAAAGATTTCCAGCGCACTTATGCGCGGTGCAGTTTCTTCCACCATCAAGAGGGCCGTTAGTAGAAACAGGAACGCCAGGTAGGTAATCTGAAATCGGTCGCAAAAACATATCGAGGATTTATATTTTGACTCAGTTAAAGAGATTCGCAAACCACATTTTCTACAGGAGAGGTTCGCATCGGTACGACAGAGGGGTCAGTTATTTTAACTATTAGTTCCAGACCGATAAGGAAGATGAACACCACGACGGCGACTATTTTTGAGTTATTTGTGCTTTTTTCAGTCAATCATATCGTCGGATAATTACTATTGGACAGAAACCGATGTATATTGGCATGCTGGCCGTATACGGTCTAGGGATGACGACTATCCAGTGCCTCGGCAGCACCTTAAAGTTTAACTCTCGACATTACCGTCCCATGAACTAATATTTGTCAGTGTAGTTTGGATGCTTCTTCGTGCTGGAGTGGGTTAGAGTGTGAGAGCACACTGCTCGCTGAAGCAGTAAAGATTGTGGCTTGGAAAGTTATTAACCAACTGGATAATTCGGTCCTATTCCGACTGCTACAGACCCTCCCTAATGCGCTTGTTTGGCCCTCGCACTCATCTGAAATGCAAGACATATGAGAAAGCGCAAAAAGGCATAGTGGTATGCTACTGAAAAAGACACAGGAGACTGGGATTGATCTTCCTGGTGTATTTGCCACCAGCAACCGGCAGTACCCTGGCACAGTAGGCACACGCATGCCCATAAATTAGGATATAACTCCACTAACTCCACTGTGCCACATATACGTCAATGCATTTACTAAAAGAGTTCAACTTAATGCTTCCTTTAGGCAAAGAACATTAAAAGTTAAAAGCGCGATTGGACTTGCAAACTCTAGCATTTGCTTTGCTCTCGCCGAGTTGTAGAAACGTCTCATCCTTTCACACAGATTCGCCTTCTCGATACTGCACTCCTCGTTGTCCATCGGGCCCTCAGCCCAGGACTGGAGTCGGTCAACGGCTAGTAAGAGCGGACAAATCAGAGTCAACAGGAAGACTGGGAGGGAGGAATCTATGCCATTGTGCCAGTCCATGGCAGCCGTTGTTTGAACGGGCGGAGTCACACCGAAGCTCACTCGAGAGGTGCTGCGACACACCCAAAGAAGATTTGTGCCAAGGAGGAACTCATGAGGGACGTTGACCAAGTCTAGGGCGATCGTCTGAGAGCACAAAAAACAGGCCGAAAAGTTGGCATTTTGACACAGCTCAAGGGTCCAATCTGCCGGAACCGAAAGACTGGGTGAACCTCTAAAAGATCCATTTCTGTAAAAATTCTATCAGATCAATGAAAGAACTTGGACAACAGGATGCTTGACAGAAAACTCTTTACTGTCGGCTAAGACAGGCGACATGCTGTTGTGTTGCCAGTAATCTTCACGCCTGCGTAACACAAAAATCGCGAGGAGAAAAGATTTATAAAATAGATGGCCCCACTAGGCAGCGCAGTCCGACTTGGTGGCCTAGAAAGTGTTCCCCGTTCAAGCTGTGTGAATTAAAAGCCCAGTGTTAGAACATGAATTTCAGTATAGGTAGCATGACATGAAAATAATCTCTACCCCGTTGGCAGGCAAAAGCATAACTGGTAAGATGATAGTTGGTAGCCGTGCCCACAGACTCCACAATGGTTCCTACTGGCTCGATTTCAGTAACTGTGATTGCGTTCTCAGTATGCTTCTAAATTCATGCGCGCGCTGTATTACCTGTATCAGATTCATTTTAGAGACGCTATCCTGGGCAGATTTGCACCGGAAACGATGACAATGAGGCTTACCCTATATCAACTTTCATTAGAAGAGGTAGTTGGCAGGCGTGCCCACAGAATCCACAATTGTACCTACTGGCTTAATTTCAGTAGCTATGATTACGTTCTCATTATGCTTCTAAATTTACGCGCGCGCTGTATTACCTGTACCAGATTCATTGTGGAGGTACTATCCTGGGCGGATCGGCACGGCAACGATGAGAATGAGGCTATCCCTACGTCAACTTTCAAAAGAAGAGGAAGCTTTTGTCTGCCTCATTCATTGTAGAGGTACCATCTTGGGCGGATTGGCACCGGTAACGATGACAATGAGGCTTACCCTTTATCAACTTTCATTAGCAGAGGTAGCTTTCGACTGCCTCATTATTTGCGGATTTTCTCTTCCGCCAAAACCAATTTTTCGCATAAAAGTCTTACCCGGCTTGCGTTGTGGCGTCCCGCGTGCCGCTGCTTGACTCTCGTGTTCTTCTGTCCACTATGTTGGATGGAGTTCTATCGCACACACTGCGGAATGACCTTCGGACCAGTTGCCTTCTTCCCACTGGTTGTTCGCCTTCACTTGCTTTTCTTTCCAATCTGAGGCTAGGATGCATTTATTCCGCACACCGTTCAAAGTCTCCTCGCTCATTTCCATACCTTCCTTGTATTTTTCACCTAATCTAAATTAGGCTTCCACTTTACCTGTAGCGTCAATTCCTAGCATATACTACAATCGCCAATTACCCGTCCACACAATTGCCCCACCCGTATAGCTCTTATTACCACCCGTCCCGATTGATAGGCAGCTGGGAGTTTGCGGTGTCAGGAGGGCTACCAAGTATCATCTAACCGCATAACTTTCTGAAACTGGCGCAGTAACTTTTAACGATCTAACCGAATTACATGTCTTACCTTAAAGCATATCCGGCCTTGTTTCAGAGAAGCGTTGTGAGATATCAGAAAAAAAAACTCAGGAAGTTCCGAGAAAGTAGAGGTGGTACATAATGACACGTTGACATACCCTCCTGCTAGCACGCGCTCCGCTCCCGCGGCCAAGAGGCGAGACCCAATTTGCAGCCAAGGGTGCACGCAGTCACGCCGCCGTGAGCTGGCGCGGGACTCAGCTTATCGCGAATACCACCCTCTGTCCTCATACCCCTCCCCTTCATGGCTTGACTGCAAAAACTGCTCAATGGATGCCGCATTCTCACATTCTCTGACGGTGTCCTCCTGTACGAGACCGAAAGCTCAGACTAATATACCTACTGTCCCAGAGATCGGGTCTTCATCTTCTTTACAACAAGAACCTGGGATTCGCATAGTCGCTTCCATCCGGTTTATAAAATAGATGGCTCAACTAGGCAGCGGAGTCCGACTTGGTGGCCTAGAAAATTTTTCCCATTAAAGCTGTGTGGATTTAAAGCCCAGTGTTAAAACATAAATTTCAGCATAGGTAGCACGGCATGGAAGTACTCTCTACCCCGTTGGCAGGCAAGTGCATAACTTTCTGAAACTGGCGCAATAAATTTTAATGATCTAACCAAATTACATGTCTTACCTTAAAGCATATTCGGCCTTGTTTCACAGAAGCGTTGTAAGAAATCGCAAAACAAAACTCAGGGAGTTCCGAGAAGGTAGAGTTGGTACCTAATGATATCTAACTGCAGACATAAATATCTGGGATTGAGAGCAAGTCGCTCGCTTAGCATAAAACGTGATCTTATACGTAGCACCTGCCCACACCTTAGCAATGCGTTATCTCAAAAGAAAAGAAGGCGTTTACCGGTGAACACCTCCTTTTCTTATGATTTGCCAAATGCGTTATCTGTCCTAGCTCACATAGTTGTGGTTTAATTTATCTGGTGGTGTTTAGTCATTTAACAGTTGCATGGACCGACATGGGCACTTTCTTTCCGCCTTTCAGTCCATGTTCAAGTCCTCCTGGGTGGACGCAAGCAGAGCCACAAAATCCTTCGGCTTCGGCTGGCGATGGACTCCAACGATGGCCAAACCTATGAGAGAGGGCCCGGGCTCCAGTTAGTTGAACAGACCAGTCATAGAAATCCCACAGGAACCTCTACCAGCCACAGTATCTGGCGGGATCAAATTATTCTGTTGTCAGAGCATCGTCACATCCTCATTGAAGTTGACCTGGGTACGACACATCTCAAAAGACATATTTGCATGGCGTGCGGGTTGAAGAACCTCACACTGACAACGCTCACGCAGAATATGGAAGACTGTTCCGATGCCACATCAGATTCCTCCGGGGACTTAGTCCATAACCTCCAAGTTCATGCAACCGGACCCATCCTCTTCTCGGCCTAAAAAACGATTAGCCTGGATGCATTGTGCCTGAACGGTGACATCTTGTACATCAGAGAGGTCATCTAGACATTAAGTAACAGAACGGAATGGAGAAGAAATGTATAGAGAGAGAGAGAGACTCGGTAGGGGTCGGTTACGCTGTCCCTGTCTCAAGTCTAAGCGCAATGGGGCATTGAAAGTACAGTAAGCCGAAGGAGGACGCGGAAGTCGTTAGTGGGAAAGTAGCCAAAGCTAAAATAGGAAAGGCAACCGGTTGTTTCGGTTTAGAGGTAGGGTTAGTTCTAGGGTTTGGGTTGGTGTGAGGCTGAGAATTGAGTTTAAGGTTAGGGTTTGTGTTAAGTTTAAGGGTTCCGGTTAGAGTTAGGGCTTGGATTGCGGTTTAGGTTTACGCTTAGTGCTAAGGTTGAGCTCAGGGTTAGGGTAAGGGTAGGGCTACGAGTAAAGTTAGTCTTAGGGCTATGGTCAAGACCAGGGTTAGGGTTTGGGTTACGGTTAATGTTAGGGTTAGGATTTGGGTCCGGGTTATGATTGGGCTTAGAGCCAGGCTAGTGTTTGTGATAGGTTTATGGTTAGATTTACTGTCAAGTTTAGGGTTGGCGTTAAGTTTATAATTAAGTTAAGGATTAGGTTTACTTTTGAGGTTGCGGCTAGGTTTACCGTTAGGTTTGGGCTATTGCTGTTCCGCACTTACTGTCAACCAGGTCTTTTGCGGAGATTCTAGGCTTCCTTCAGTCTCGCGGCAGATTTGTCATACGTCAGGTTGCCTTTTCCGTTTTAGCCTCGGTAGCTTTCCCCACTAATGATTACAGCAACCCCCTTCGGCTTACATTACTTTCAATGCCCACATTACGTTTATACATGGAACCGGGGCGGTGTATTCGACCCCTGCCATAGACTCGTCTCGCTTGGGATGGAAGAAGACAAAGCCAGGATTAACGCCCGTAGCAAAGTGACAAAACTTGAATTCTAATGATAAAAATGACTGGCAGTTGATGGAAGTACATAGACTTGACATATTCTGAGAACAGACCAAGACAGGCAGATCTGACTCGGCTCGTGTAATCACGGAAGATCGGAGTGCCTGCGTGGGCGGCGAGGTTTTAGATCAATTTCTTAGGCAACCGCAGGCTTAGGATTGGTGAAGATAATCAATATGTTAAAATAAAGCTTAATGTCGTACTTCGATGAAAGGGCGCGAAACTAGAGATTCCTACAGATGCCCTTATCGACGAAGAGAAATCTGTTATCCAAGACACTCCAGAGTTCAGCAAAAGGAAACATTACAATCTGTTATCTCCCCCCTCTCAAACCTCCTAGGCCTCAGCAATACAGCTGCAACTCGCAGTCCATTTAAGCATTCTTTGTACCATGAGATTTTGTCAGAATCTCAGATAATAGATGGCGTTCCATCAACGCGGACACTGAGAAGGACACAAAAATAGGCAAACTATCGTTTCATCAGTCGAACCTCCATGGGCGTAATTCCTACAACTCTGTAGCGACTGCATCCAGTAAAATATTGGCTTCTGATTCGTCCACCACCACTCCACGTGGTGAACTTGCGTAGCATTAATCTCACTCACTCTCCCTCTACCTTCCCACATCTACGTCTTCGGGCGACAAAACTAATCCAGAAAGCAGGTAGTTGGAGTGCTTGCAGTGATTAACGAGGTCAAACAATCCATCAGTATGTGCCACGCAGGACTTGTTCCCAACTGGACAGTCGCCAGGCCTAGTTAGGGGGAAATCGAGACTCATGTGAAGTCACAATCAAGAAATCAAATAAATTGCATCCTACTCATCACCAGGCATCGCAACATTCCTGGTTTCACGAAAAAAAACTCGCCATAGCGTTCTACACGACAGCTGAGGAGCTTTGATCCGCATACATAGCTCTTTTTTTTACCACCAGTGTCACTTTATTCCCGTACACGACTCGAATTTGAAGTCCCTATAATTTGCCCTATGTCCGTCTGCACTATCGCAGACCGCACCGGCCGCTAATTCCTCACATGAGCTCGCTAATTCTAGGCCGTGCGCATGGAGGGTTATTGAGTAAATGGAGGCTTTCGCCCGCCTTTGTCGGAGAATGAGAAAGAAGTGGGTGAAAAACCTTGATTTCGTATCCAACGAAACAGTTCTAGCTCGAAGGGATAACACTGAGAAGACCATTCACAAAGAGGGCTGGTGTGGTTTTGACAAGTCCTCGCCCGCTAAGTCAAAAGAGTACAGTGTTGCTGCCCGAAATCCGACAATACTGCCTGACTAGGGGCGGCACATTTGAGATCAGGTCTAAAGCTAGTTCGCGCAGTTCTTCGAGACACGGAGACGTTCCCTGCTCGTCACTGTTTTGGTTGGAGAAAAGGTTAAGTCAACCTCTTAAGATCTGTTACTGTTGAGCATCGCATATGAAGAAGTGCCGGTAGAAGTGCATGTGCACGTGGAACTATAGTTTCCTGCACAAAGCGACAGTAGCCAAAAACGACAGTGAGCAGTGGTCACTACAGTCCTTCATATTCCTCGAGGTATTCCTCTGAGAAAAAAACGGGTAGTAAGTTGGGAAAGCAAGACCTCATCCGAGCAACAAGATGCATGCCTTTGATGGTGGCAGGCTCGCCTTGTAATTCAACAATACTGTATTTTTGACAGCCAGTCATGAAGGTCAAGCAAAGTAACCCGGCTTACCCTATTTTGGTAATGCATCCCAGAAGCGATTTGACATGCAATCTCCTCAAATGCCTCAGCCTGTTGTGCGCAATGCCTTTTCGCTTCGCTGTTATAGGAAGGAATGCGCTTGCTATTGAAGTCGTAGATGGCGCTGCCGATTAGAGCCATGCAGGTTGGATTGGAGGAGGAGCGCAACAGAGTTCGCGCTAACTCGGGATAATCCATGACGGTAGCCCAGATGAAGAGGTGCTTTAAGTTTCGAAACAAAAGTCGCGTTGAGCCCGACGATACGGTGTGAAATTGTAAGAAAAAACGCGTTGAGCTGTCTTCTCAAAAACTATAGGGTGATCGGGCATATCTAACCAGAAAGATGCATGCTCGTCCGATTGACAGCATAAATCTGTATGCAGGTGAAAGAAAGATGGCCGGAATATGCCCAAAACAAAAGGGCATAGTGCAGTGCCATAAAGGGGCAACCGCTCAATTCCAACTTCGTCTTTCGAAATAGCTGATTGGGGATTTTTTCATGGCACAACGAGGACGCTGTTTTTACAAGTTACTTATACTCTGAAATGGTATGTTTCATTCGTGCAGTTTAAAGACAAAATTACTAATTTTTTTCAATGGTTGCAGGTGGCTTGTACGCAGCAACCCAAACCTTAGGCTGAACCCCAATACCTAACCGTAACCGAAGGATTACGAACTCAAGATAATAACGCCTACTGATAGCAAGCGAGTAGCACAAGAATATCGTCTCGAAGTTCGGCTACGAAGGGAGATCTTGCCCAATTATTAATTCATACAAGTTTGGGTGGGCCTTATAAACAGACAAGAAAAAACTGATAACCATATAGGATACGCTGACTTTAAGAAAGCAAGCGAAGTTCTTCTCCGAATAGTGATAGCTGGCGTAAGTGGGAACAGCACGCACCTTCCTCTGCAATAACTGTTTTAAAAAACTACGACAGGCTAGAGTAGCCGTCAGAACCAAAAGCGGCATGCCGAAGAGCAGCCGTTCATCTGTGGAGGCAGGAAGAACCACCAGAGCGTAATGCGACCTCCACTTCGTCATCCTCATTAAGACCCGCGCATCGCCGATACCTAGTTCTGGCATCATAAAGAGCCAAGCAGCCCACTCTCCCCGCAGCAGTGTTGAAATACGACAAGCTGATTATTCTCGGAGACTTCAGTTCATAAGAAGACACAGACCAAAGTTTTGTGGTCATGCAATGGGAACATCAATAGTATTCTACTAAAAAACCTCGGAGAACGCAGTCTCCTCATCTCCACCTGCCTACTGAAAAATATTCTGAAAGTAAACCATTGTTCACGTCGACGACAGGTGCGGGAGGAAGCGCCCATCAGGCGGCAAAACCAATGTGACAGGTTTGTGAGGAAGGGCTGAAATTGTGTTCGGGTCCTCAAACGGGTTGTGTCACGTTTCTGTCAAGGTAGAAGCGGCCCCACATGGCCTCATGTCATGGATTATTTGAAATACAATGATTCGGCTTAAGCGATTAGTTATTTTCATAGATACGATAGATGCCACGACATCCATTGTGCCGAATTTCAGCGAAGGTTAGCTGATCTTGCACAGGCAGCGAAGAAATGGGGAAGAGACTGTGATTGACCAAAATCGGATTCTTAGTTTCGGGTGCTTCCGAACAGGTTGGGTCATGACTAGCTGATGACGGTCAGTAAACTAGAAATGGCCTCACCAATCTCTCTTACCCCAGCCGACTTGACCTCTCGGATATTTGAGACATTTCACAGGTCACTCGTAAACGAGCAGTAGGCCGGTAAAGGAACGAAATATTAGAGTAAACAGGTTCTGGAAAATCTAAATATGAACGTTTGCGAATGACGTGATTCTTTGTTTTTCAACTTTTTTATCAAATAAAAATATAAGAAACGCAACTTTTACTCACCTTTAAAGGTTCTGTTACCGTCTCATTGAGGTGGTCTGCCGTTTCAGCGTCCTGAAATGTCATCAATCAATTTTAAATTTTGAAGTCTATGTCTTCGTCGGTTCTGCTGACTTAACAGACTTTCTCCGGCAATGCTGAATTCAGAGCTGATAATGAATGATCGAAAGCGTACGTTCGCTGGACTTGACTTTTTAATTAGAGAAAGTAAGTCAATTTCTGGCGGAAGAGGAGGATAGATTTGTTCGAAGTAACAAACACTTGCAAGTCTGGGCGGCATTCAAAAATGCGCCGAGTTAGTAAACCGCCAGCATAGAGAAATCATCCGTCACACACGCAGTAACAAGAAACGACCAATCGGAGTCAGCGAGAAAAGACTACGCAATTGTAATGTCTCCGGGAGCAAAGCACATGCATAGGCAATCCTTCCCAGAAATCAGCTTTTTGTCTTCTCATGGAAGAACTTCTGCTGCAAGTGAGATATAACTCCTGTGCGATATGTTTCGTACAAAGCAGAGGTTCGCGAAAGATAAAAGCAGTGGCATAGATCATACTGATCCGTCCCTCAAACGACTTATAATTACACGGAGAATTCTCGATGTGCAATGTGGCCCAGTAATTTCTCGGAAGAAATCTCCTACTTTCGCAAGCGATTCAGGATGATTTAACTGCAATAAAAAAATAAGAGGTTTGTTGGATGAAACAATAACCCTGCTCGTTAAGTTGATTCTCGTACATTTTCTATGCCATTCAACAGGACGCGGCTGTTGGAGTTATCTCATCGCTGATTAAGATCTTGAAGTCATTTATGTTCTGCTGTTTGTATCTGTAACCTGAGTTAGGTCATCGCAAACAATTGTGGCTGGCCACGAGCAGACATCTGTGCTTGTGTTTAGTCGAAAACCACCGACTGCCTCCCCTCTACAACGCTGGGGCAGTTATTCCGTGTCATCAGACTGGCATGGGCTACGAGATAGAAGCGGTCGGTGCAGAAGGTCGCAGTAAGGGCTGACGATAGACCAACCGCTTCGGACATGCAAAACGACCGTTTCTTCATTTTATAGGACCGAAGCAGAAGGTTTTGAGAAATTCGACTACATTACTATATCCGACTCCACGGTCATGTTACACTCTAATGCAATTCTCTCTACACAGACTATGACGAAGGTTGTTGCATGTAATTGATTCATCGACCGTTCGCTCCGCCTCCGTCGAAGGGATATGACGTGGCAAAATGCCTAAGAATCCAAGACTATATTTATCTTACGGTATTTTAAGTATGTGATAGCTGGAATAATATCTCGAATTTCCGGGTCTACCGTCTGCGCAATACAGTGTTTATCGGCGTGGCTTGGCGTATCCGCTTTCCATATCAAATGGTTTATTTGAATAGAAAACTACGCCCTAAATTGCAGGAATATTTGACCGGCATGATGCAGCAGGGTTCAAGCTCCAAAAAAGAATAATATTTAAGGCCAGTTTACAGGCATTCTCACGAGTCTGGAGAAAACTTCTACTTTCATGAAAAGAATTCCCCCGTAAGGTGTCTGCTGCGTATTCTTTGAGGACTAACTTCCTCTGTGTGTTGTTGATCGAGGAGAAAATGCGCTGTCGAAGGGGGAGGTAGAAACTAAAACAATAATTGTTTTAGTGGGTGTGTTGACAAGTTTAAATAACCTGAACAATTCTCAAATGTGCAAAACTCGGTGGCCTCAGTGGGATTCAAACGCATGACGCAAACGTCGTCCTCTCTGTCGCGGGTTCAATCCGTCGAGACCAGCGCGTTTTTCCCAGGCCGGCGGCCAACTGAGGGTTTCTTTTATTTACATGGAATTTATGCTCACGAAAGGTAATGAATAAAATGATCATCTGCAACCTTCATGGTGTCTCCAACTTAGGAGTAAGCCGAGAATGCTAAATAATTCACCCATTTAAAAAAAATTGACCAATCAGTAAAGCTCCCTTTTGACCTGGGAAGGTCGAATCGCGCAAAGACAAGATCACATATGAGTCTCCATTCCGCCCGGGTATGGTCGACTGATTACGGGAAACCCAAGATATGTTCCAGTCTTTAAGAAAATTGAACAGAAATGCTGGAGATCGACGGACGAGCCTAACCCATCGCAGTTGCACAGGGCAACAGCTAGAACTCATCGAAGCATGTGTCTGGGCCTTTGGCAAGTGTCTCTGTTCGGGGCGTGATGAAGTCGATAGGCATTGCCTTTGAGCTGAATGCCAGACATGGCTGTGACGCCCATCAATTTAGAACTTAATAATAAAAGGCTTTTTGGCATGTTTCCTAAACTCTAGAGAGGAACAGTAAGACGTTTTAACGAATCTTCGTCAGTGCTGGTTATTAAACATTTAAGGAGAGTCGTCGACACATGTTCTGCCTCTTCGTTGAAAAACAGTCAACAACGCCAGTCAGCTCAAGCGAAGCCGCCGCTTTGAATTTGAACTTACCGCCATCTAAACGACTGGTAGGTATCAAATACCGTTTATTTGATGGATGCCTCGGGACGCTCAATCGAATTTATCGAAGCCTTGTGTGCGGTTTTAAAACTCGGAATGAGGCAACTTAAATATAGGCCGAGCACTCGATTGATAAAGTCCGTCACTGTGCGTAATTTTTACTAATCTAGTGTAAATCAGTGGATAAAAGAAAAATGAAAAGAGTTCTACACTTAAATCAATATTTTCTGTGCTCACATAACGATAGCTGCCGGGTCAATTTTCCCTAGGTATTTTGCACGCGAGCCATGAAAGTACGAGTAAAATAGTTCAAAACTTACGACCTTATCCTGCTTATACGCGTAAATGTCCATTTCAGCAAAAATGCTCTTTAGTAAGAGATAGACTTCCTCCAGGTAGATGGGAGACTGAGAAACGCGTTGATGCAACTTCGGTGTCGCCAGGCCTTTCACTCTTGTTTCCTCCTTCTCCTTCGCATGCTCATCTTCGTCCGACACCTCGTCCTCACTATCGGAATCATCACCTTCTTCAGGGTTTTGTTTGATGCCACAAGCCCGAAGTATAATCCGAAGGTTGTCGGCACCGGCACCTCGATTGTACAGCATCCGCAAATGTTCTAACTTCACCTGTAGGCTCTTCTCGAGGTTAAACATGGCCAACTGACCAATAAAACTGGGGCGATTAGTTGAGAGTGCCAGTAACAGAAGGTTACTTATGTCTTCTAAAATCGAACAAATGCAACAGATTAGTCAGTACTTTTTGGCATAAAACGAAGCAAACCTTATGATCAAATTGGGCTTGTCTTAACGCGTAATAATCTCAGAAGTTTACCCAGTAAGACAGGGGAATAAGAACCCACGTGAACTGTACCCATATATCATTTGTACTTATTTGATTTAGGTAGCCTGATATATGTATATAATCTCCGGGCATCTGTACAACAATAGTGGATTGTTTTTTGCTTGCCTACTACATAAAAACATGCATTGGAGTCAAATAAATCTTTTTACGTCAAGACACGACAATAGGAATCTCTCAGCAATATAGCTGGCATTGTGCCAAATTCTAGGAATGGTACCTAGTCGTGTCCCAAGCCTAAACTTAACACTAACCCCAGACCGCATCTTAACAAGCGCCCTAAACTCAACCACCCAAACCTTAATTTTAAACCTAGCCTCCCTGGAATTTAGTGTAAGGCCTCGGAATAGGGGAGGGAGTTCATATTCTCGTTTCCTACCGAATAACCTTTAAGTTAATAAGGCACAAAGCATTTTTAAGGCTAGGATTAGGGCACGGGAATAGGTAAATTTCCTGGACTTTAGCGCAAAACCACCTGTATTCCTACTCCCGTTTCCTCCATTTTCTACTGTTTGAATAACTGAAAAGTTCACCTGCATTTTCTTGAAAGGCGTTGTTAACGACAGCTGACCTCTGAGATTAATGGTAATATATGATTGGCTATATCAAGCCGCCTAAATCCAATAAGTGGACACGACATAGGAATATAGTTAATTGGGGGTTCTAGTCACGTAACTTACCGATTCGATATTACAAAAAAGACAACAAACAGCAAAGGACAAACTGACTGACCATCTCCCAAGGGATATCTCCGTGTAGTCAAACAGTGTGCAAAGTCCTCCAGCTTATCCCAGACCACGTCAAATTTGAGTCGATACATTTCGTCCGAATTGGAAGCCAAGAGGGCATCCAGAACGGTACCGGTAATATCCTTTGCCTGTGACAGATCATGCAGCAGGATGTGGCCCTGTGGACTCATGGCATCGACAAGAGCTTCATAGGCCCTGTTTATGGGGTACTTGTTGGTTCTGTCCAGGGTCGCTAACATTTTCAAAAGCTTCTCTTCTTGGGCTTGTCCGAATTTCTGAAAGCTGTTTTAGTCGGAAAAAAATAATAAGGAGAAACAGTTAAAGAGGGGTTCACAGAATAAGGAGAAAACGTTTTTTTCAGTTAAGAGTGTTCGTTAATGCAATTTTAATGGAAACAATTACAACGCTAAGGTATAGACGAAAACACACTGTCTTCTCTCAGACATTTTGAATGGTGCGTATCAGAAATTTGCTGAGGACACGTCATGCCCAGTGGTAATATTCTTGAAACGCAAAAAAGACCAGTGTTTACGACCGATTAACAGTATACTTAAAAAAAGACGGATAAACAGCAGATTCCTCTCACTAAAAAGACAGCTTGAAGAACAGAGCCATTTAAACCTAGCAGCTAATTTTAACATCAAGCTGGGTACTTTCCGTTCGGAATCCTTTTGGTTCACGCATGCCTGTGATGGTCTCTCACATTCTAACTGTAACCGGCCTGAGCCTAGGCTCAGAATCGAGTTAGTACAGCAGAATGTCAAGTAGATACACATCCTTGTCAGGAGGAAATAGTCGGTTGTCTACTGGAGTGTGATGTTTAGAAAAATTACAGGGCGAGAAACGGAATGGGAGTCTCCTCCATATGCCGGGATCTTACGATAGTTTTCAGGAGATCAGGGTTTGTGGTAGGGTAGGGTCAAGGCATACTTACGCTTGAGGCTAGGTTTGCGTTAGTGTTGAGGTTTGGGCACGAGAATACTTACCCCTCTCTGAATTTAACGCATGTCTTACCGCAAGAGCGGACGTCGCGAGAATGCCGGTGAATAACGGCCACATGTGGCTCTGATGTCATGTGACACCACAGTCGGCATCCCCCATGTGTGTACGTCTGCTTACTTCCTCAAGGCAGATTGAGGGGGACTTGGGAAGAGTAAGCGAAGCGTCTACAAAAAACTTACTTATTTGTTTCGTCCCGGAAAATTGCGGCAAGTGCGAAGACGTCAGCTAGGCCACCAGAACTCTGCAGTATAACGAGAGGCACAGTGAATGTTCTATCGACCTGAAGAGCCGTGTTGGTATCTCCACCGACGAGGATCCGAACGATGTCCCCGCGAAGAAGCGCTATAAAGTTATAAAAGTGAGTGTTTATTCTTACCCAAAATATAAACTTTCAACTGTCTTTCCTGATAAAATAAAACAAAATGTTTCGACTATTAGTAGTCCTGGCGAAACATCAATAAAATAATGTGCGACATGAGGCTTAACTTGAGTACACCTTGAAATAAAATAAAATAAATTATGTTCAAGAGAGCAATCTCTGAGCGTAAGATGAGACATCCAGTCATCCAATAAATTTCTGCTATATATGTACACGTAACTGCAATGACATTTAGCGGATAATTTCTACGGGAAATCAAACACAAAATTTCGGTAAAGATAGGTCAACGAAAATGAGGCGGGTGACTGAGGTTGCGCTTGTTAGAGGCTTAGTATTACCTCCTTCAATCAACTATATTTTTGACTACAATCCGCAATCGTACCCACATAGCGCAGGGAGTCAAAAAGAAGGTCTGATCGATTGGTCATGAGGGCGGCTCCGATCGTACATGAGTGAAAATGGCCATAAAGGCCGTTTGCAGAAGGAGCTATTTCAGCCTGACACTCAGTTTTGCGAGGTGGATTGAGTTATCCCATCAATTGGCGGCCTTTCAAGCCACCGCTGTCTGCAACTTGTGATGGACTCAGTCGGGTCACAACATTTATTATGAGTAAGGAATGCGTTGGTCCGCCGTTGAGATCGGTCTCGCTCTCCCATGCACCAGACGACTGCTCGAGCCTGATGACGAGTTAATCATGGGAGTAGGCTCAGTGGCTGCCGCGGCCTGCAGGGCGTAAAAGTTATGGACGTGTGCGAAGCCAGCGCAGCCCGATAAAAGCGTTCTCTGGTCTGGCTCGCTCACTCCCTCCCTCTCCCCACAAGCACTACTAAAAACGTTGTACAGTAGCCAGTCTACGCGTGATTGTGCTACAGAACAAGTAGTAGAATTTCGGTTATCTGTAGGTGTCGAAGTGAATGTTAGTATCTGCGCGCAACGAGTTTAGAACAATGACAAAACTGAAGAAACAAACTTTACTGACATGTAAATAGTAATATTATGGCAGTAATTAAATGTTAGCACAGTGTTGAGATGATACCAGTCGGTTGACATTATGATGTGTAATGGTATATTGGTCCAGCTTCCGCTTAAAAGTCTCGACGGATGTGGACATAAGGATATCTGCAGGCAGATAATTCTAGGCTTCAACCATTCCATTAGGAAAGAAAAACTTCCATGTGCACAGCCTGACGCCAGTCACGCGTAGTTTGAGTGACAAAGAGTCAAGCGCTCAGTCAAAACAAAACGAAACTTCTGAAACAGGTTCCAAATTTCAGGTCTTTCTAATCTGAAGTTGGGGCACGAAGAATTCCGGACGGCAGCTAAGTCAGCAATGGGTATCCCGTTTCCATTTCGTTTGGCGGCACAAATATTCGATAATTTAGTAGGTTTACTTTCTGTATCGGCTCACGACAACTCGCATTGACAATGGAAGCTACTTGACCACTGCAAATGACCATTTTATTAACTGTTTTACGCGAATCGAATTATGGACTTAAAGTCGAAAGTTATAACCGATACAAGCCCATAAACGACGAACTAAAACAAGACACGGGCAATTCAATGGCTCAAGGAGGATAAAGTGTCCATGACGGTCGGAACACACGAACTGATATCAACGTGGAAGAGTGGTACACCAATCTTTTTTACGGTGAGCAACATGTCCTCCCCTTGTACCTAACGGCCACTCGCAGAATAAGTGCTGATGATGGAAAATGGATGTTGATAGAAGCAAGCGAATTCGGCGCAACCTTTTTGGCCCATCAGCGGCCACTCCCCGGTTCCAGCTTTAGGTCATCCGAGGTCAGAATCCGGATATTGTGATCGTTCATTGTTAAGTCATATGCTCGTATACCAAGCCTCCGGGGCTCCCTTGTCCTGTCATTTGCGGACGGGATACAAATACGGCTGTTCGGCCACAAGTGGGTGAAAAGCTGTGCCCTCCAAACGGAACGCATGGTAGATGAGCTGGACCAACGTGAGGGCCATATTGGACTCTGGCAGGCGTTATCGGCATTGTGCACCAAAACAAATGCCTACATTCTGGGATGCAGTGGCGGACCAGATTGCCGGCGTGCGTCGCGCGCACTGGGACCTGTTACCCCCCATTGTTGTTGTGAATCAAAAACCTGGTTACTTGCCGTGTGGATCAGGGGGTGTGGAGTGGAACGCCAAGGTGCGGGCTCGACCGTGCCAGGCACCTTCGTCCTTCCCCGTCTCCGGTCTTCTTGACTCTCTCTTGACACCGGGTCCAGATGGGGGGGGGGGGAAGAGTGCGGTAGGTGCTATGCAAGTCTGCTATCCCTATAAAGTAAATTTCAGCAAAAGCCACCGTCCCTACTTTCACCCTGCTATGGTGGATGCGGTGGACATCGTTGAAATCGACGGTCGAGCTATCGGATGAAAAAGCAGACGAGTACCCTCTGAGACGAGAACACAGCAAACGACTCACGTGCTATTCTGAACTCCAGTTCCTTGCGAAACGTAGTGCAATCGAAGGGCTGTTCACCGCTGCGCTCATTCACAAAAAAGGCGTGGGTCAGGTAAGAACAGATCTGCTCCCTTCTCTCACCGTCGCCTTCCTCCGCTTCCTCACTGAAAGAGACGGTTTCGCCCTGAAAAGTAAAACAATGAGCTGCTACAGTACCCTGTGAGCTCAAAACAGAGAAGTTCAATTCAATTAGAGCTGCAGAATACTTTAGAAAGAAGTTTCGTTAGAAAGTCACTAGGCAAAAATTCAGCCCATTTCACACGCGTCTGCACTGAAATATTTAATCAGGCGTGATTTCGAAGGAGAAACCCATCTCAGCCTGCTTCGGTGCACAAAGTTATGTTTTCTGCATTTTAGTAGATTAGCGTCCTGAGGCTGCAGACAGTGACGAGGGAATCAAGAGGGACGTCTCCATCCTATCCGTCTGTTTCCCCTATAAACTGCTAAAAGAGAACCGTCATTACGGTCTCAATTTGTAGCCCGGAAGGTTATGATCCCTACCCTCTAAAAACATGTTTCATAGCCTAGAGTTTGACCGAACATAAGAACAGGTCTGGTCTGTCTTCCCGACGGCAATTCTATTTCATTTGCATTGGCACAGAGACCCAACAACGGGGTCTTTTCTTCTAGGGGGATTTTAATGAAATATTATGAATCTCATAAGCTAAATGAGCGAAAAGAATAGCCAATTTGTAACTAACTTGTTTGGTAAACTTCTCCGGATGCTTGATAATTTTCCAGGGAAGAAAGCCCACGAGATATGGCGGTTTGTACTCCTTTTGAACCAGCATGAGCAGAGCTCTAATTCGCACGAGAGCTCTTCCCAGGGTTCTTGTCAGGTTGCTGTCCTCTCCGGAGCAAAATATTACAAGTTGCTTTGCCTTTGCAACCTCAAGGATGAGCTGTATAAGCCAAAGAAGGATGCGACATATCAAAGTATTATGAAAACTTGCGACTCAGAAGTGAGCATATTTCCTGTAATTCAGACACTTCTATCAAACGGATCCTAGACAAGTGTTCTTTTAACACCATGCCTGCTGAAGGCTTGTTTAGGTTCCTTCCATGACGGTTTTGTAGGATAAAGCCAACTGGATAAAATTTTAGAGGGGAAACATGAAACAAGATAGAGTAGTATTTTAGACATTACAAACCTCCAGTTTATCTGAGTTCTTCATAACGACATATTTTCCCTCGAGTTTTGCCCTCGCCTGCATCTCGGCTAACAAGAGCTGATTGCATACGTGTAAGTGTGCGCATACTACTTCGGCTCAAATAATTCACAGCAAATTTTTCATTATTCGAACTCCTTTTATAAGTCTCTTACCAACGAGTAAAATGTGCAGAGGCAGATTTTTATAATGTTTCGGTGTCAGTGCGCTAGTCACTTGTTGCAGGATCGGTCCCTTCTAAAAACCAAATATATTCTCTAAACGGGGTAAAGGATAATGCGCAGTGCATGATTTATGGTAGATCGGCATTCATAGGAATTGCTTTCTTCAGTAAATAATATCAAACAAAGATGTTTATTCACTCGTTTTTCCGACATTTTACGGAAGGTCTTGGAATTGAACTGGTGGCCTACAAAGGCTTTGGAGGAATTGTTATGTTACTGTTCCAGTTTAATGAAAATCGTGACAAAAATCCTTTTGGCTACTTATGCACCCCGTATTCAAACTTTTCTGAAGATTTGTGGGAGGGACGTTAGCCGATCAAGATGCAGTGCGGGACGTGCTCGTTGGATTTAGCAGACGGCCTTATAGTAGCAAGTAGACCTATGAGAGGTGAACGCGGTTTCTTTCGAGTTGGAATTAAGTGGCAGAGCTTATTTTCATTAAACATTCTCACAGGACTACATTGGGTAGCTGCCCACAGATGAAATTTTCATATGGTTAAATGGCCTCATTGAACTATCATGCACGTAATTTGCGATCATCAAGTGACAGCAGAATAAATAGTAGGCAATCAGCATGTACTGCTTGGAGGTCAATATACGCATTTACTTGGTATTCACGTCCAAGCAGCCAGTAGCAAGAGTGCCACTCTCCCCCCCCCTAATCCAAACGGTTAGTCTACCAATCTCAGCCTTGAGAGGGTGACCGGAGATTGTCTTACATATGGGAATCTGACGCCTTGCAAGACAACGCAATGAGCAATGCAGCAGGTTTTGTCATAGGTACTCATGTTACTTTGAAACGCTTAAAGTGTCTCCCGTCGCTGATCGGTTCGTTGCTGCCAAGATCAGCGTTCACATACCCCTTCTCATTACCTAAAGGAAGACCGATCACAATGACTCTTTGAGATCCGCCGTGGCAAAGTCGTACTTGATGCGGACCGGCATACATTCGAAGCACTCGGCCGATGTGAATGCTAACTTGTGCCTTGTGAGAACGAATTTTAGCCAGAGCAACCTCTCACCCTGAAAAGCTACGCACCTTGTTAACGCTCATTAACTCCTTACCCACTTGAGGAGTTTAGGAAAGCACTAGATGCAGGCCTTCGCTTGCGTCTATGTGATTCAGTTTCCGATGATGATAGCTCATATCTCTTGCTAGTTGGCACAATGTCCGTCCGTTGCCTGGTTCGAGTGGATAGCAAGGTGACGATGAAAATCACCGAAGTCACCGACAGCAGCGTCTGTGTATCTAAGACAGTCCGTCAACTTTTCACAGCTGGGCCTAAGAGTCATTCCAATGTGTAGGTCGAACACTGCAATTAGGTGGCGTTTAGACTTTGGCTTTTGGTGTTTATTTTACTCCATCTTAAATTTTTTAGAATTGGAATTAGCGTTTCGTCCCTCATAAATAAAAAAACATGCAAAGGTTTCTGAGAAATTTCCGCGAATGCTTTGACAAATTTGTGCTCCTTCAGACATCATCCTCTTTGTTCGATTCCAACGCTATAGTTGCAGTTTCTTTAATTGAAATAGACTGTAAACGACTGCTGAAGTTTCCATCAAGTGAAGCGTGCCTTTAGATGGTGTTGCGAGACTGCAGCACCCACGAAAATGGTCTTTGATGAGCTAGAAAATTCCGGGCTTCAGATTATTACACCTTTGGACGTATTCCGTTTGTCCGGAGTTTACTGTGCTGGACAGAAAAGCTCGGATGCTTGCTGGTCTTAAAGGGATTACGGGAGCATGGCCGTTCTATTATGTACTTCACTTCCTATGGCCTATGACGTACTGAGGATCGGCAACGAGCGTGAAACAGCTGTCTGCGTCTGACCCGTCGCAATCCTAGTGAGCCGCATATGTATCTTATGTGGTATGTTTGCTAGGACACCACGTTCGTAGTCGCCAGACGCAAACTGGCGGGTGGAGAGAATGGGATCGAGTGAGATCTTAACCACAACAATGAGGGTCACACGCTTACTTGAAAAGTAAATACTCTTGCGAGGAAGGAATGAGCGGCTATGGAAGTACAGTATTTGCCTAGAGCCGGTGGCTTCTTCAAACATTAAAGTCTGCAGTCCTCCAGTTGCACACCAGTGCAGAGGGACGTCGCGAACGCACATTGATTATATGCTTCGGCTTGCACTTTGGATTTTAGGGCACAGGTCGGTTGATTTCGTCAATCCTTGTGACGTCCAATATGACAAGAGTCAAGAATTCTCGTTAATGCCTGGTGACCGCAAAACTAAATGACGACCTCTACAGTCGGGCCAAGGAATAAAAGTTCTCATGCATCTGCCCGCCAAACGCGGCGTCGGTCTTTAAGCGACGTTGCGTAAACTATTTTCTTCCTTTGTAGCTATCAATCAGTAGTTTGCTCGCGAGTTTTGGGGTGGGAGAGGGTAAGATGACACCAAAAAAATACCACGTAGTCGGATGGCTTCAGCTTCGCGCAATTTACGCGCTGAAGAAATCGTTTGGTTGAGGCTTGCCCAGTCGGCAAATCTGCGGTCAGGAAGCTAAACAACAAAACAACTATTTTGAGGTGCATCGTAGACAGACAACTTTTGAATGAGGTGGCTGCCTTGTCTACCTTCGGCAAACTGCAAAAATACGCCGCAACGCAGTCTATGCGCTTACTTTACAAGATTTCGTCTGACGTAGTCATTTTATTTTCTCCGAGTCTTACAAAATATCACCTTTTACAGAGACCAAACTATTCGTCTCATTGCATCAACAAAGGTTTTTATTGCCGGTCATCGAGAAGACTAAGATAAATTTGCCACTTGTAAAGAACAGCCCCTTAATCTTTGCGTTAACCTAGTACTTCGGACGGGGTTGAAGTTGACTGGAGATGAAAAGCATGCCCCACAGAGCATGGAAACTTTTAGAAATTCGACCAAATTCCTTGTAAACAATACCTTTAATTTTAAAAAGGGCGTCGATATCTGTCCTCAAGTAACATTGTAACACTCGATCAAACCGATTATTTAAACTTGTAGGTTTACAAAATTATATGTGGACAAAGCATAATACATTATGTTAATTACCAAATTTACAGGTCAAATTTTAGATTAAGTAGGTTCAAAGCACGATGTCCGGACGTATAAAGTTAGTGAAATTTCTTAACTTAGACAAATTTAAAAGCATTATAAGCAGAACAGCAAATATCAAAACTTAGTAGATATCGATGAATAAAAGACTAGGTGGATAAAGTTTCTACCATCCCAAAGCAACCTTATTATAAAAGTACAGAGCTCTGCTTTCCCATGAAAGCTAGTCCGTATTATTTTCACATGCAACTGAAACTAACAAAATCAAAAGATCAAAATGAACTCTATCGCCTGATCTTGTTACAAATTTACCATATTCAACCAGGTGGACTACAACTACGATTAGGTTTTCTTACCGTAAAAAGGGACTCATATAACTTTTCTAGCAATGTCACGTCGATTGAACCAACAAAAGACAGGCATATGACCTCCAGGTCATTCTGCATTATGTCCCAGTGATTTTTCAGTAGTTTCAAGATGTCATCGTAGTGTGTTGGCTGCGACAGTCGAACGTACTGAAAAATTTATAAAAAGGTAACGTAAAATGTAAAATAGTAAGAAGACCTTAAGCACATTTGCCGAAAACGCAAAGTACGGACTACAATCATGATCTGGGAACGTTTTAAAAGAGGAATAATAAGGACTTGGCCTTGCGTTTTGTTGGCACAAAACGTGTATCCACAATCAAAATACCGATTTTTTGGAACACCATAAATAAATGAAATGTATTCTTGCCATAACGGCCTTATATTTTCGGTGTAGGGGCCAAAACATTTGGAGGCCAAATTTTGTTGTCTAATTTTATAATGCTTCAAAGGAGACTGCTTTGGATATATATATGGGGTTGACACTAGGAAAAGCAGTCCGCCAGCGCTCAACTTTCGGTTACCCAACAACAGCACCGTCGCATATGCACGCAAGTAGGATATGAATATACTAGCTGAGCCATAATCTTAGGTTCATCGAATTAAGCAGCAAAATTATCTTTCGTCTGGATTCCACTACACAAACATATACTGTTGGCTGTATTCTTGTGTATAAAGTACAGTGAAAGAAACCGAAACAGCTCCTGAGTTTTGTATGGATTACCAGTCAAAAAGGCTTGAAAACTTTTTCATGTTGTCTCACTCGGTATTTCTTTGTACTTACATGGCAGTAGGAGACGGCGTTTGAAACATTTTTAAAAGCGATTACGCCATAGTACTGCGCATCATCATTTGCGTTTAGCGTATTGGAAACTCCATGCTCTTTGATTACCCTTGCTGCCTTTCAGAAATATATGTCAACGAACGGTTGATTTACTTTGGAATGGGGGCGAGGCGATCTCTTCTTAGTTTCCTTTCTGTCA